TCGGTTCGCAAAGATTCCGGTTCCTCCTGCCCCGTAGAGTGACGACCTGGGTCTCACAAAGTCATTTGTTTGCGTTGTGGGCTCTGCTGCGTTACGCCAAACGCGTCCGTCGCAAACTTGCAAATTCAGTGATATTCACGCGGCGGAGCTTGGCTGCTGGACTCGCTCAACAAAGCTTTTGCCTACGTGGGCACCACTACGCGCGACGACCCTCAGAGCGTGGGCAAAGTCCTGGCCGGCTACACGGACCTCTATCTGCCGCGCGTCACACCCTCCATTACCACGTTGAAGGAGCTGCTATCGGGACCTTGAGTATGCACAGGTACTGACGCTGTGTGGTCAGCTTTTCAAGAACGTGAGCGGCTTCACTGACTCCAGCCTCTACGCCGACACTGCCGTCCTAAAAGCCGCACTAGCAGCACTGCTCATTCATCTTGAAGAGGTCACAACATTAGTAGCGCGGGAACAAGCAGCCACGGGGTTCACGTCCCACTACTTGTACCGTTTCCATGAAGACCTGAATGCAACCAATGCCGCCTTGGGGTCGCGGCCGTCGCTGGAAGTCTGCGCTGGCTGGGGACGGCAGCTTCACGCAGCGTGGGAAACCGAGAGCTACGCGCATCTTAGGCAGCGGACTGGGGGAGAGACAACAGTGCTTGCTGCAGCTGTGACTCAAATTTTAACGTCGATGGCGTCAATGCAGCGCACGCAGCAGAAGATCGTGGCGATGCAGGAAGTTCCACCGAGAAGTCCCGCCACCACACTGTCGTGCTGCGCACCGACAGAGTCCAGTGCTCCTCCGCGCACTGATGTCATCGCTGAGGCGCGACCGGCTGAATGGATGATTGTATAACTGGTTTACGCCAGGAGCCAAGGCAAACAGCGACAACAAAGGAAGCAGCAATTCGTCCGTGAAGACCTCAAAGGCCTGCATCAACATCATGATCAATCGAAGGGCGAGGATGTAAAATTTTTCTCCAAACTCGTCGAGACCAAGAGGGGGTCCGCCAATCAGTAGTGAGTAAGTAGAACACCTGTAAGATGCAATGAGAAGAATAAGCAATCAGAAAACAATACCGCACCCGGCTACATCACCGGAAAGGGCCGCTAGAAGACAGCAGGCTCGCTGCGAAAACGCTGGAGATAATGCGACTTGATCACCGGCCAGCGCTCTATGCTCAGCCTTTATCATGCGCAAAGCAAATGGAGGCACCGTCGATCGCTGCACGCCTGATAGTCACCAATGGAAGCAGAAAAACTTGGAGTATTAGAGATAATTGGCTTGCATTCAGTTCAAATTACATATCTAAACATAATATGCAAGATATAGCTCTCTCATCAAGCCACATGCTCGCTGATCGGACTCGGTCATCATAAAAAGCAAATAGGCATTAATCATCAGCGTAATACAGAGTAGAGCCTTAGATACAGAGTACACGTACCGCACGAGGCACGACGTCACCCTTGAAAGCCTTTGTTACGTGACCAAAGAGATAAACGGACAGCATAACGCCCGCCCTGCCGGGTTCGGAGCATCATTCGAGAGAGCTTGGGCGGACACTTGCAGGCTACCTTTCGCGGTGAGGTGGAGCTTGGAGGGGCCGCTAAAACCTGGAGAGCGCGCTGCTGTCGTCCATGCCGATGGCGCGGATTCCGAGGTGAGGGCTGTTTTATTGTGCTAGCAAAATAACCTCATTATTTTTTTTGTTTTTAGCCAAACCTGGTCTTTGGAATTGATAATCACACGTATACCTTCTCCAAGTAATTTGGAACGTTCTTGCTCATTGGCTCATTTGTTTGGGAGCCACGTTTGGGAACTTGTCGATTACTGGTTGTACAGAGTATAGCTCATGATAATTGAAATGTATTATGGAATGTAATTTAATCTTATCAGTCAGTATATTATTGACATATATAAGATTGGGTAAAAAGCGGTAAGGGTTTAAAAAAAGCATCACCCAGCCACCCCACAACATTCCTCTACCCATTCACTTTTTTCGTGTTCCAGAGGCCTGGGCATAGTTTTGTGAGGAAAAGATGGATGTGGAGCGGCAAATATAGAGAGTGCAGCGTTTTCAGATATAAACCTCCTCCTTTCTACACACTCCCGGAGACGCTTCTTAGCGCGGGAAAGAGCCCGGTTAAAAACAATGATTCGTTCTTATCTCAGTAATAGTAAGCAGCCCTTGAATTACTCCAACGTGTTCTTAAGATGTTGTCTCATCAGGTTCGAACATACTTAAATCGTTTGGTTTGTGTGTGTGCCTTAAGGCTGGACGTGGGTACGCTCAGCAAGGAGCACTTCCGGGTTTAGCTTCTCTACGCCAGCATGCACACACATAGACTTTCTCTCTCGTTCACAGCAGACGACCTGAGTAACATGATATATTTCCTGTACCTGATAGAGAAGTCATCCATAAGGAAGGAGAGGTTCTTCTGTAATAGACATCTAGATTGAGACGCAATTTAGAATTTGGTACTGTACCCAGCGTAACTTGGACTTGACGCATTTTTTTTAAATTGTATTAAGCTACAATAGTGCTTCACGTAGGACATTTTAAAGAATAAAATCTTGTACAGTAATCGACGAGCTCCCAAACGTGGCTCCCAAACAAATGAGCCAATGAACAAGAACGTTCCAAATTACTTGGAGAAGGTATACGTGTGATTATCAATTCCAAAGACCAGGTTTGGCTAAAAACAAAAAAAATAATGAGGTTATTTTGCTAGCACAATAAAACAGCCCTCACCTCGGAATCCGCGCCATTGGCATGGACGACAGCAGCGCGCTCTCCAGGTTTTAGCGGCCCCTCCAAGCTCCACCTCACCGCGAAAGGTAGCCTGCAAGTGTCCGCCCAAGCTCTCTCGAATGATGCTCCGAACCCGGCAGGGCGGGCGTTATGCTGTCCGTTTATCTCTTTGGTCACGTAACAAAGGCTTTCAAGGGTGACGTCGTGCCTCGTGCGGTACGTGTACTCTGTATCTAAGGCTCTACTCTGTATTACGCTGATGATTAATGCCTATTTGCTTTTTATGATGACCGAGTCCGATCAGCGAGCATGTGGCTTAATGAGAGAGCTATATCTTGCATATTATGTTTAGATATGTATTATGAACTGAATGCAAGCCAATTATCTCTAATACTCCAAGTTTTTCTGCTTCCATTGGTGACTATCAGGCGTGCAGCGATCGACGGTGCCTCCATTTGCTTTGCGCATGATAAAGGCTGAGCATAGAGCGCTGGCCGGTGATCAAGTCGCATTATCTCCAGCGTTTTCGCAGCGAGCCTGCTGTCTTCTAGCGGCCCTTTCCGGTGATGTAGCCGGGTGCGGTATTGTTTTTGGTGCCTAGCGTTTTGCTAGCGTCTACAGTGTCTGCTTCCACATCTGATGGGCGACGCCGCCTTGGTCCTGCGGAGCTGGAGGAAAGTCTACATCCTGCCCCCTGCGATGATCATGATGTTGATGCAGGCCTTGAGGTCTACACGGACGAATTGCTGCTTCTTTTGTGTCGCTGTTTGCCTTGGCTCCTGCGTAAACCAGTTATACAATCATCCAATCAGCGGGTGCGCCTCAGCGATGACATCAGTGCGCGGAGGAGCACTGGACTCTGTCGGTGCGCAGCACGACAGTGTGGTGGCGGGACTTCTCGGTGGAACTTCCTGCATCGCCACGATCTTCTGCTGCGTGCGCTGCATTGACGCCATCGACGTTAAAATTTGAGTCACAGCTGCAGCAAGCACTGTTGTCTCTCCCCCAGTCCGCTGCCTAAGATGCGCGTAGCTCTCGGTTTCCCACGCTGCGTGAAGCTGCCGTCCCCAGCCAGCGCAGACTTCCAGCGACGGCCGCGACCCCAAGGCGGCATTGGTTGCATTCAGGTCTTCATGGAAACGGTACAAGTAGTGGGACGTGAACCCCGTGGCTGCTTGTTCCCGCGCTACTAATGTTGTGACCTCTTCAAGATGAATGAGCAGTGCTGCTAGTGCGGCTTTTAGGACGGCAGTGTCGGCGTAGAGGCTGGAGTCAGTGAAGCCGCTCACGTTCTTGAAAAGCTGACCACACAGCGTCAGTACCTGTGCATACTCAAGGTCCCGATAGCAGCTCCTTCAACGTGGTAATGGAGGGTGTGACGCGCGGCAGATAGAGGTCCGTGTAGCCGGCCAGGACTTTGCCCACGCTCTGAGGGTCGTCGCGCGTAGTGGTGCCCACGTAGGCAAAAGCTTTGGTGAGCGAGTCCAGCAGCCAAGCTCCGCGCGTGGATATCCACTGAATTGCGAGTTGCGACGACGCGTTTGCGTACGCAGCAGAGCCACGACGCAACGAGTGACTTGTGAGTCCGGGTGTCAGCTCGGGGGCAGGGGAGCGGTAGCCTTGGCGAGTCGGTCGGACACCAGAGTGATGAGATCGTTTATATACTTGGACACGTTAGGCCTTCCGCGAACACGCTTTGCACGAGGCTCTTCCACCTCGTTCTCGTTATCTTCCAACCTCTCCCCGTAAAGAATAGCCTCCGCCTGACTGTAAGTCTTTTCTCCAGGCAGATCCGAAGACGCTGCGTGGAGCACCAGTGAAAACACGCAGCTAGAAGGCTCCGAAGCACCGGTGAATAGCATTCCAAAGGCGTGCAGCATACACTGCTCCCAATGCGTGGCAGCCTTGTAGATATAAATATCTTGA